ATATGTATGTATGTATATATACATATGGGTGTGTGTGTGTGTGTGCGTGTGTGTGTTTTGTGTGTGTGTGCGTGTATGTGTGTGTTTGTGTGTATGTATGTATCTATATATATATACATATATACATATACATATATATATATATATATACCCCAGAGCTGAGACCGTCGCGTGTAGTGACATGCGTAGCTCGTTGACAATTATGGTGATAGGGTCCACCACCACATTGACCATTTCCATCAGATGGCCTGTCTCTGAGTTGTACTGATTGAAGGCGAGCACAGCCTGTCGTATAAAGTGAAACAGTGTCTGAATCGAATTAGTTTGAGTCGTACAATTATGCGATAATGGCGTGGATGTATGTATGATGTATGTATGTATGTATGTATGTATGTATGTATGTATGTATGTATGTATGTATGTATGTATGTATGTACGTATGTATGAAATGAAACACTCATCACACACTATCACACACTATCACATCCTGTCACGCCCTATCACACCCTAGCATGCACTATCATACACTATCACAAACTATCACACACTATCACACACTATCACACACTATCACACACTATCACACACTATCACACACTATCACACACTATCACACACTATCACATACTTTCATACACTATCACACTCTATCACACACTATCACACACCCCGTGTATCTCGAAGGACGTGAAGGAGAAGCAGTCCTTGGCCTCTTTCGCAGATGTCGCACCCCTCTGCGTGTCATACACCGACCGAAATTCTTGGATGCGCTCCAGTGTCGACGTGTTTGGCCCACCTGTGACCGCAAGAAAGGTGTGTGGTACGGTGGGTGCCTGTATAGAGTGTATCTAAGTGTGTGTGTGTGTGTTTGTGTAACCTCATTAAGTTGATATAATTATGAATTGATGTAATTGTGAATAAGCTTTTACATACCCCCCATACCACCGTTTGCATCTTCCCACTCAACCGAATCGTCGCTGCTGCCGTTGTTGCCATGGAGTGTGTAAGGGTCTGTGCTCGCGCGATGTAACGGTTGAAGAGTCTCCTGTGGAAATGAGAAGTAGGGTGGCTATCAGTTCAGGTATCTGAATAGGTTTACGATGAAATGTATATATACTAATATGTACTAATATATACGTATATATATATTCGTATATATATATACTTATATACACGTATATATATATACG